GTTTGTAGAACAGTTGCAATTATCTATAACAGCATACAATAACAATTTAAATGCTCAGTTTTGTTTGTTTTAATTAAAATTTAATATGTGAATATTAATATTATTTCTGAGATCGTTAACTTATTCACAAATATTTTAAAATTATATAATTATAAAAATATATAAATATAAAAAAACATATTATATACATATGTATATATACTAAAATATTAATGAATTCCATAAGCTGTTGAATTAAAAAAAAATGTTATTTACATTTCAAGTTTTTATCAAAAAAAAAAAAAGAAAAAAAAATGTGGCATACTTTGAATGAATTTTTAATAAGATGACTAACGGAATGTTAGTTGATGCAGATTATGTCACGGATATCATTTATGATGTAAGATAATATCCAGGTTGAGAAATTCAAATATTAAATAATTGCTTTGGATAAAAGAAATGCTATGCTCTTTTTTCAAATTTGTATTAAGACAAACATGTGTAGATATTATAGGATTTGATTTAGTTTAAGCACATATTTAAATATTATTAGTTAAAGTTTATAAATTCGTTTCACTATAATTCGGCAGTTTTCTTATTGCTCTCAGTTTTTTTAACTGTTTAATATAAAATGAGTTTAAACACAACGTTTAAACACAAGTCTGTTTCCTTCCAAATATTAAAATATTTTTATGATTTTGCGGCATATTATTGAAAAGTTCTCTAAAAGTTCTACAAATTTTGTTCAGCGTCATGTTTCAAAAATTCTCAATAGAGGTTTCAAAAAAAAATTTTTAAACTTTGACTAACATTGAATTTCGGCGCATTATTATAATTGTGTTCCCTTCCGTTCGAACAATATCAGATACCGTCTAAAGTACTCTCCTGAGACTGTCCTTATTTCAAGAAATTCTCTACTCGCCAGACACAACTTCATATGGTGTGTTCTTATTTGGTAATACCTATATAGCTTGCAGGTCCGGAAAAGCGTTCATTTAGTTCTTTCCCGTACATATAACTTTTAGAACATGCTTGGATTGTCGTAAACAATTCTCCATATAATTGCCCTCTCTCTTTCAATTTTTTTCCTGAAAATTAAGTGTTTACCCTACTTCGGTTTAATATATACAAATATTTAGAAATGAAAAGTCCGTGTAACATATATATATGCAATAATGAAGTAATTTATTCAAAGCTTTTCAAAAAAAATTTGTGACTATACGAGTATAATAATTATACAGTTGAAATGAAAAAATTAAAGGTATTACGAAGGCAGATAGGCTGTTTTTTCTGTTTATTTCTTAGAATGTGTGACGCAAAAACTTGTTTTATCAAGCTTGTAATCTCTAATATTATTTTATTTATTAGTTTAAACAACTTTCATTCATAATTTTATTCAATATTTCTCTTTTATTTCTTTTTCCGTATACATGCGTTAATATATGTGTATATATAGATTTTTTATATATATATACCTTTTCATTATGTGTACTTTGATTTGTTTATATATCTTTTTTAGTTTATGTAAGTGAAATTTTTCGAATTATTTTAAAATTATAAGTGATTTTTAATTGCATACTTACAATATTTTTTTTTCTTATGAAATTTAGAATTAAATTACCCTAAATAATTGTGTAAATAAATGTATATCGTATATATGTGACTATGTTATTAAAAGCTTTTGTATCTGTATATAAGTATACAAATTACATAACAATAACAACATCTAAGTAGTTGTTTATTTATTTTTAAATATCTTAATTAAAATTGAATGACGTGGGCACAGGAACGAGTCAAAGTAGGAAATTTAAAAAAATTTTCCTGGTCTCGAATAATTGATTTCCGGCTTTATATGAGGACGTGTTTTACTTATAGAATTACTGAACTATTCGAAGAAACCATCAGGAGAATTATTTTGCCCCTCCGTTAAGCGTTATGATAGCTTTGTAATATAACTCGGTTTCCGATTTAAGTCGATAATTTAAGCGAATTAACGAATTTTGTTATGATTTTTTTTGATCAAAATAAATTTCCATTCATTCCGGAAAACCTCGGCAAACTGAATCTGTTTTTGAAAACTTTGAACTGTACTTTAAAAACCCAGATAATAAATTTTTGGATTTCCTATAAAAAATCCCATAAAAATTAATTGCATTCCGCCTTAAATTTTATTAAAATTTAAATACAGGAAAAAAATATTTTGATTGTTTAAATAAAAAAAATATAAAAATATTTTTAAAATAAACTTTTTTTCTCTTTTTAATTTATCATTTTTTTTGGCAAATTCCATAGAATTTTTATCCAAAAACAATTTTATAACTCAGTATGACCATTATGCTACCATTACTATATTTGATGTAGTGTGTGCAAATAATCACAGTACTTGTGTTTTATTGCATTTGCGTTGTCTCTGAAGTAGAAATAAATAATACAATATTTGGAAGTCATGGAAGTCTATTCAAATATAAAAAAAAATGATTTTTATTTTAATAAGCAAATAAATATGAAAATATACATTGTATGTAATCGGTATGAGACAATAAAATAAAAAAAAAAGTTTCTAGAAACACATAAAAAGTTATCTGAGTTTATTGATCTTAAAATGTGTTGGTAAAGCTTTTACATATATGTTTATTTTGTATACTTTTAATTATATAATAAAATAATGTAATAAAAATTTGTATGAATTAAAAATTATTATTTTATGAGGAAGTCTAATAAATTTTATTATTTTATTATTAATTAATTAAAAAATATAGCTAAAATTAAAATGTAGAAATTTAATGATCAAATATTATGCAACAATATTAATGTTTCTCAATAATTGAATTGCATAAGCATAGGCTAATATTGAAAAATTAATAAATTATAAACAGTTTTGGGCACGGAAATGAGCAGCAACATGCCTCATATTGACTTCGTGTTGTACAGAAATCGAATCGTAATTATTTTAATTTGCATAATATAATCAAACTTTAAAGCAATGACTCTGGTGTCTCTGATCCCACAAATCCCAAAATAAATTAGTGGAAAGCAAATATTTTACATAAATTGGATATTATTGAGAGATATTACCACTATTACCGCCATTTTATTGTTTATTAAGAATACTTTTTATAATGTTAAATTAATTTTATATTATATTGTACTAAACCTAGTGGCACTACAAACTACACTGCTTAACTGTTGAACTAATAATGAAAGAGACGAAATAGAAACATATTGCTTATATAATAAGAATTTAGAATAGGTAGCGGTATTCATAGGGATGCTACGAAAATTAGATTTTACGATAAACATATAATTATTATTTTAGTTATAATAATGACCGCTACAGATATTGAAAATTTGATGTGATTCATATTTAATTGACAATGAAACAATGAAAGATTAACTAAAATATTTCATTTTTTTCGTATTTTAAAATAGTTATTTAATAACAAAATCATTTTAAGCGATTTCATCATTTATTAGACAAAAACCTGCTTGTTTACAATCCTATATGGTTACAATATTATTCACTATTATTCTGTATACATTAATTTTTGCTTTCTGTACCATGCACGAATGATAATCAAATTTTTATGTCAAATTACAATCTAATCTAAGTAAATAATGTGAAAGGTACAACAATAAATATAAATACATAAAGTCTTGTATATAGTATTTGTGAATTATTCAAAATAAAATATTTATTGGTTTTTAAGAGAGAAACGTGCCAAAATTGAATTATGTCAAAGTACACAATACACAAATGTCACGTCACGTTCATTTTATGCATTAAATTTCATTAAAGGAATTTTTTTTAAATTATTGTACTTTTAATTATTTAAGGTTTTTAAACAAAATTTTTAAACCGTATAACATAAAAAAAATAAAAAGAATAGTGGATAACCATTGAAAATTATTTATTTTTTAAAATCATTCATTAAAACGATTTTTTTTTCAATTTGTTGATTTAAATTTATTAATAAAACTTGTTGTAATTTTTATAAAATTGTAAAAAATTCCATTCACTCGCCAACATGTTCAACATGTTGGTTGGTTTTTGAAAATCGGTAAATCAAAAATTAAAATATTAAATTTTTAATGTAATTAAATGAAAGTCACCAAAACACCTAATTTAATCGATTATCATTTAATCAGCTAAGTCAACCCCATCTTATGTTTATTGCACTTTGAATATCATTTTCTGTTTGTATTACGAGTACAATATGCTTTTATCTTCTCGCTCCGTTTTTAATTTCTTCTTTTTATTGAATTTTGTTAGTGCGCTTGATAACCGATATTTATAGCTCCGTCGACTGTAATAATCTCTTCTGCTTCAAGCATCATTTTTTCTCTGGTATAAAGTAGTGCTTTCTCTATACTGACATTGTTCATCATTAATGTTTTTAAATTCCTTCTTTTGCAAATTTTATTGCGAAAATGTTGTCAACAAACCAAATTTATATCTTGACGTCAAACATTTCTCACTTCCATTTCATAACTTAACACTAAGAGACTACACTAAATTGTTTATGAATACCTCCGATATTATTATGAACATTTCATTTCTGAAGTCTGGACTGGAAATACGTAGTTATTTTCCGTACAAAGCTTTGCCGATTTCTGATCTCTCACTTAACTCATTCAGTTTTTTTTCTCCGCTTTGCTAAATTAATTAATCTCTTACATGCTCAAACAGTTGAACATCGAATGAGATTGTCATCTCATGAAATTCAATTGTCAAATTTTCAATTTTTTTCAAAATTTCAAAACAAAAATTACATACAATAAATTTTGGGAAAATTTTGAATGATGTGAAAAGAGAACTGGGAACATTTAACAATTTGAGATCAATATTTATACATACAAAGAGCATAAAATATGAAATAGGTGACACATACATAATAATATTATTATTTTAAATAAATTTATAATTCAAAAAATTTTTAAAAGAATAAATGACATATAAACGTCAAATTTAAAATCAAAGTTTTTTATATTTAAATTTATAAATTTTTTTTCTCTCATTTCAGTTTTTAAATTTAATAAAATAATAAACAAAAATGAGTTTATTACCACAACCGTTTTTGGATCATCCGGAAGTTGTTCCAATCCCTCAAGAATATCAACCAGCTGTAGATGAAGTTTATGAGTGGTAAATTTAATATTAAATAAATAATTATTATTTTTATATACATATACATATTATATAATTTTAGGATGAAAGCTCAATCTCGTTTTTCAAAATTTACGAAAAATCATGCATATTTATTTGTTCATGCCTGTTATGGTGATGTACCAAGTAGTAAAAGAGCTCTATTACGATACGTTCAGATACGTTTAAGTTCTCCAGATTTATTTGATAATCGTGATATGATGTTAGAAGAAATTCAATTCGTATATGATATGACGTAAGTTTCACTAACTTTAAATCAAATTTTGAAATTAGACGAGATTTAAGATTAAATGTTAATAAATATTTTTCCATTTTTTTTAAATTTTACAGGCATATGGTCGGTTTGCCTCTTAAAACACCAGAAGGTTATAATATTTTAGTATATCGTTTATCAGATTCAGATCCATCAAAAATGCATTTTGGGAATGCAATTAAAGCTTTTTGTATGTTTAATGATGTCAGAATAAGTGAAGACGGTATGACATTATATTTAATTTTGTTAATCTATCCCTAATAGATTAATTGCATGAAATATGTTTTTTATAAAATTATTATATTTTTAGGAATTACTGAAGGATATGTAGTCGTATTTGATATGAAAGGTTTAAGATTTGGACATTTAACCAGAATACAACTTGGACCATTACGTACATTTATGGCATATATACAAGAAGCACATCCAGTTAGATTGAAAAAAATTTATATTGTTCATACGTCATTCTTCATTAATCAAATAATGACATTAGTTAAACCTTTAATGCGCGGTGAATTAATGTCTTTATTGAAATTTACATCATTGGGACCATCCGATGTTTTGCCTAGTGAATTATTACCAGTGGTAAATTATTTATAAAATATTTAATTAATTTAATCCGGAATATGCAAAATACTGCAAGTTCCGATAATTTTTTTAATGTTAAATTACATCAACATTAAAAATTTTATTTATAAAATAGAGAAATTAAATCTCTATCCAATATTTATTTATTGATTTAATTCATAATTTTTAGAAATACATAAAATGTCTCCCTTTTTTTCCGTAGGATTATGGTGGCCCATTAGAACGTCTTGAAAAAATGCATAAACATCAACGTCATATGATTGAAAGAAGATATCGGCAATGGCTTATTGAAAGTGCTTTAACAAAACCATCAACAGATAGTAAAGGAAAAACAGCATCAGGATCACTAGTGACAACAGCAACATCAACTTCAAGTGGTGCTTCAACAATGAAGAATGTTATTGAAAAGGGAGAAATTGTTGTAGAAGAAACTGGTTGTAGTGAAATGGCTAAAATGGCAACTAAATTTAGTTCTTTAGAAGTTGATTGAAATAATCTTCTTTTTAGTGAAATGTTTTAAAATAATATTATATTTTTTATATTTATATAATCATTATTTATAATTTATAAGAGAGAGAAAAAAAAAGAATAAGTTTTTTTTTAATAAAACTAATTAAAATTGAATTTTCATTTCGAATAAAGAAAAGGTTAATCAGAGGTACATATATTAAATTAAAATCGTAGATCAGTACTTTCGAATTGATAATAAAATTTCCAAATTACTAGTTTTTCCATAGTAATTTACAAGATTTGCAGTAACTTCTCAATTAGAATGCTTCGTATATAAAAATTATTTAAAAAAAATTGAAATTTTTCACATCTCTTCGTTTTTCTTTTTTGCCTAAATTTATGCAATTTTAAGAATTAAGCTCCATTCCATAATTTTTTAATTGCTAGAAATTTTCTTTAGAAATTTATTACTAGCTATATCTAACAGAATTATAATTTCTAATAGACTTACGAGTCCAGTTAATCGTATTTAATAAATCTAATATAAAATATTTAAATAAAAATATTTAGAGACAATAAAAAATCTTCAAAAAAACTCTATTTTTAAATAAATCTTCTTCATTTAAATTAAAATATAAGATAGATTAAAATATTTTCGAGTGAAAAATAAAATTTCAGAAATAATGTGATTTTTCAAATAAAAATTAGTAGATTTTAATTCATTTCAGTATAACTTAAAAAGGGAGGGGGAAATATACCCGAGTATAACTATGTATTCAAATTTCTTGTTTTTGAACAAAACGCTTTAATCTCTTGTACGAGAATGTTTGGAAAAATTTTTAAAATTTAATATGCAATTCATTCACAATTGCAATATATCGTATACGCTCATAGTATATACATATTTTTTGTACAAATAAAAACATATATAAATCACCTTCAAAACAATTTAAAATGCAGCCTCTATATGCAATTATATTCATATATAAAAACACTAATATACATGCATATACAATCATATAGGTTTGTATATAAAACTCACCATTAGGGAACACAAATTATAATTAATTCAATGAACACACACATATATAATGTAAAGAGTAAATAATATAATTATTTTAAATGTAGGTTAGTTAACGTTTCAAGGTTAAAAAATGCTCTATAGAATTACGTTTTTTTTTTCTATATTTTTCTATTTTCTATAAGAAATTTTATTGTTTCATAATTTTTTACTCTTTGAAAATTATTTTTGTTTTTTTTTTATTTTATAATCTTTGTTGTTTATTTTATAAAATCTTTTCTTTAAAGAATATTTTCACGACTAAAGACTACATTATATAAACACACTATACATATGTATGTGTGTATACACAGCATAAATATGGAGTGCATGTGTAAATTTTTAGAACGAGGATTTAAAATGGAACAGATATAAATGTGATAAATTTATATGTATGTATGTATGTACAATATATTATGAATATAATCGGAAATGGGGCATTACTTATGTTTATATAATGTGTTATAATTTTTTTTAATTTAATTATATAATTATAAAATATAAACGGTCTGAATAGAAAACTATTAAATATTTTATGTTTTATGACATAATTTCATAATTTCACTATTCAATTAAAATTTTAAAAAAGTAGAAACTAAATATAATGTGGATATAAGGTAATTTAAATTTCTTTTGTAACTTGTTATAAATTAGGGTGTTATAAATGAACTTTCCTCATTTCTTGCAAGTAACAATCAAATAAGAAAATTATTTAAATTTTCGAAGACAATTACTTAAATTACTTAAAAATTCTGATCTAGACTCACTAGACACTAAATTTGTGTTGCCTATTACTTCTAAATTTAATTGACATATTTGGCATTTTTCGCGATTTATCTTATTAAACTCATTGCATAACTCTTTTCTATTCTTTCTTGTTTATGAATTAAATTTCACAGGACTTATTTATTATAGGTTTGTAAAATATTCTCTTTAAAAAAATTTTCAAAATTTTGAGCATCACCCAATTCGTATAACAAATTTATCATACGATATTGCAACTCAAATAAATTTTATTTCCAAAATTTTAATTTAACTATTTCGCTATAATCTATGTTTAATAATATTTATATAATTATAATTTTTACAGCTCTAAACTTACAATATACAGATTTACATATTAAATTTTAATCCGCTCTACATTTGTATATATATACATACTTTTTTTTGGGTTAAAATCAATATCTGAATACGAGTATTTTATGAGCCTTTTTTTAAAGATTTAGTTTAGAGAAAGGGGTCATTGAACAAATCAATTTAAAAATTTTCATATACATATAATTTCTTAAAATTTATTATAGCCATTTTATTTAAAAAAAAGCATATAAAAAAATAATTATAATGAAAAAATTTAAGAGTCTTAGTTAACACAAGCACCAAAAGAAAAGAAAGGAGTAAATATTATTGTACTCATTTTTAAATGCCAAAAAATTTTTACTCTATAAAAATAAAAATTTTTATCTTGATAACCAGAGGATGTCTAGCACTGCCAATACAGTTAAAAAGTTTTCTATATATTTATACATAATATATAAATAAGGACAATCATAAATTGAGAGGACTGGAAAACTATAAGAACGAAAATCGGACAAAAAATTTAGATTGACATGCTTAAAATTCTGTAATGTAAAAAGTTGAGAGCAAATCTTAATATTTGTAATGCGGAAATTTAAGATGTTATTTAAGAGAAAATTGATTTTCAAAATAAATTTTCATTTTCACATATTGAATGAGTTCAACCAGTTTAATTAATCAAATTATTGTGCCTATTCTAGAATTATAACAATTGTTTTTTGAATTCGAGTAAACTGAAGTATGAAGTTGAGATTAAGAAAAAACTATATACATATTTATTGTGAGACAACTTATTAACTCTTTGTTATCAAGATGACTGACTATACCTTGCAAAACCAGCGATCATACTACTATGAATACAATCTGGGACTGCTTTTCTCATTACATTTCAAATTTCATTGTAACACTAATATATTTAATCCATAAATTTGTTTTTTTTTTCTTTTAGTTCTCCTGTGGGCTTTATTTTACATTTCGGTTTCATGGATTGGATCTTCTAGATACTTCATGCATGGAACGGTCTTTATATATTTTATTGTGATTTTCAAATTATCCTCCTGCTTTAACATTATTCCTATATGATATTTTCTGGATACTGTTCTAGTCTCTTTGCTGCTTTATTCAAATAAGATCTCCTTCTATCCTATCTACTGATCTGTAAGGAGTAACAACATGAAACAATAACATTTATTGTTCATTATAAACAAAATATCAATATTAGAATTGAAAGTTTTAAAAATCTTTTAAAAGCTAAGAACCGCAATAAAATAAAAAGAATGAAAATTGAAGTTTTCGTTTTCTTTTAATTTCGTTTTTAAAAATTTTGTGGAAACGCATAAATTTTCATAAATTTTTTTTTTTGTTGTCATTTAGTCTTGCATGAATTTTCTTTTATTTTCATTTTATTTTTGCTTCGTTTTGTTTTTTTGGTGTAATCTTCTTGTATGAAGATGTTGACACCATTCTAAAGTCGGTCAACTAAAATTCGTTCTGTTATTTATATGAAAATTTTGCTTAAAATTTTTCTCTGTTACAGAAATTGTAATTTTTGTTGTTTAAAAATAAAAAAAAATATTTATTTTTATATAATTTGAAATTTTGTTTTGGTGGTCCGTCAAGATTTGCTCTGATTTAGCAGACATAAAGCAGGAAATTTGTTTCTGAATAATAGGACTTGCCTCATTAATATGGGAAAATTTTGTCTCATAATTATGGGACATAAATCTTGTCCTATAAGTACAATAATTCATAACAGGCTAAGAATTTTCAATGAATTTTAAGAAAATTTCCTTAATTTTATTTTTAATTATTAATATTTTAAGAAGTTCAAAGTTTTCTAAAAGATTTTTAATTTAAAAATTATTATTACGGTAATCAATATTACGGTACAATAATTTTTAAGAGATTTCTCCTTTTTTTAGTTTTTTGAATTAAAAAGGATAAAATGGTAAAAAAAAGGAAGATACTTCCGTTTCAATTGGAAAGAATTCAAGAAAAATATTTTTATTTTCTTCTTTTGCATTTTATAAGATTTTCTGTGTAATCTAGATTTTTTTATATTGTAAATAATTTGAAAACTTCAACTTTTGGTCTTTTTATATAATATAGGTGACATCATTGGTATTTATCCAATAAATTTTTTTTTATTATTTTTATGTACTCGTGTATATTTTATTAAAATATTCACATTTTATATTTTTAATGTTTAAGTGAAATAATTGATTTAAGATAATGTAATGAATTTTAGATGAAATGATCTTTTTGCATTTGGAAATTTATTTTAAAATATTAAAATTTTAAGGATAACCATATAATTATGTACATGATTTTGGTCTTATTAAATTTAATGGAAATTTTCAGTTTTAAATACAATTAAATATACATATATAATGAATAATTGTTTTCTTCTGTATTGCAAAGTTATTGATTGTTTGATCCTTTTTAATTAGTCACTAAAGTACTCTTAGTATAATTGTTTTTCTAATATTTAATATTTATAAATAATTGATAATCTTATTTTAGTCTTTATTATAATCTTTACGAAAATTTAGTTAAAAAAATATTCTTAGAGAATAGAAAAAATTTAAAAAATTATTTTAAATTTATAATTATTCTAAAATATAGCTAATATGGTAAGAGTCAACTACACATACTCATATAATCGCTCTTGTTGTTTAAATTTTAATTGATTAATTGCGAAAAGAATGAAGTCTATTAATTATTTTCTTATTATTTATAAAGCGCATAGTAATATTTGAGTTGATGCCGACCTGTTATTACCAACAATCAAATCATATTTTGTTACCTATACCAAATATTTATTATTTAAATGTAAATTTTTTTAAAAATCATTTCACCAGAATTTGTGGTACCGAAGGTGAACAAGTGAAATATAAAACTCTCTTAAAAATAGATGTAAAATTCAGTATGTTTACAATATCATTAACGCTCACAACATAATTGGTTTGTTATATAGTAAACATTATTATTTTGGGGGAATTATTATACTATTCCACAC